CAGTCCCCTTCTCCAAGAACTTAAACCCTTTTCCAGTATTTGAAAAGTTGCCTGCTCGCCTCCTGCTAGTGTTCCTGCCTTTTATTTTCCTCCATTTCTGCAGTGTCAGGAAGAAAAAATAAATCTGTAATCCAAGTAACATCCTAAATATAGAAGTGCTAGTTTACAAATGAGAAGTCTTTCTGATGGCTTCAAAATGGTTTTGTAATAAAAGGAAATGTATTTGACACTGCCAGAATTTACAGTCCCACCAGAGACTTGTGAAAGAGCTGCTATACCAAACAGCCTGGGCTGGAATGGAGCTTGTTGACACGTAGGGGTTACTGAAGGGTATTTCTGGCTGTTGCCATGAGGATGGCTTAGCAAGAAAAAATACCTTCTCTGCAACTACTGTAGGGCTCGTCTGTACCATCAGCTTTAAGGAAAAGTGTTTTAATGGAAGATGGTTAAAGAGGAAGGCTGCTTTTCAAAATGGGTACCAGAATATGGCCCCTGAGAGCCAGGAGGAAGGGATTATGAGCAAATCTGGTGTGGGTGATACAGTCTAATACTGCTTTTGGCTGTGTAACTGAGTAAAAAACAGTTTTTCTAGAGTCCCTGTAACTTTCAGGCTTTATTTTTTTTTTCTGTATTTCTTTCTTTCTCCAAAATCTTTCAAACTTTGAATCTCTCATATGTTCAGTTATAATTGCAGGAAGGTGTCACAGTGGTCTTCAGAGACTATTCTCAGCTGTTTGATTAGATTTCATCTATGGGTTTAGAGGTGAATGTTCTTACACTATTCGATAGCAGTTATTTACAGCTGCATCCAGGGGCCCAGTTCTGTTTGATACTTAAGAGGCATAACCACAAAGGAGTTACCAAAAATGGGTGGTTTGCCATGGTTTCTGCTTGGTCTACCTTGGGAGGCACTGTCAATGTGTTGGGGAGAGAGGAACCTTCTACCCAGATTCTCAGTGTCCAGAAAGAAAATAGGAGGACTTTAAAAAGTGGCTGATGATAGAAAGGAATAAAAAGTCTGTTTTATGGACTTTTTCCCTACCAGAACTAGTTTGCAGAGTGAAATAAGATGGCTAAAACAAGCATTGACGTTTGATCAATATAATTTTCTGTAAAACTGAGAATCTAATGCTTCATTGTCTTCAGGTGAAGTTCCTATCTTATTCACTGTCACACATGAGGCTTGCACTATGTTATTTTCATCTGCAGGCCTCTTAAGGGCTTTATTGCTTGCCTGGGAATCCTATGTGGCTGCACAATCAGAAAACGGAATGTCATGGTGTGCTGAACATTGAGGATTTGCTTAAATGTTTTGTAAAGATCACTTCCCTGTGCTGAGTGACAGCGGTTTAAACAGCAAAACCCCAGTTTTCAAGCCTTAGTTTTCATCCACGTTTAGGCCTGTGATTGTATAACCTGTTCCTGTGGGTGGTGGGGCTTTGCTCTGCTTTTTGCTGTGGTTTTAACTTGAGGATTCTGCTGCTCTCACACCGCTGGCTTTTGTTTGATTCTCCCCTGTGCTGGGGACCACCAGGCTCTGCTCCTCCTTGGTACGCAATGAAAATACCTCCATGAGCTCTCAGAGATGTTTCAGGTTACATAAACCAGGATTTAAAATAGTATCTTTTTCACAACATTTAGAACACGTGTTGGTGAATATAAATTTTCAGCGCAGTGCCAACAGAGTTAGTTTAACAGATGCAGAACTCTGTTACTAAGAATAGTTTCTGCAGTTATCTCCCCACACAAATTTTCTCCCTGGGCATTTGCTATGGGCTTATCAACACTGCAGAAGATCATATGCATGTTCTTTTTTTCAGAAAATAGTCTGCAAGCTTTCTGCTTTCAGAAGCTATTGAAAGCACGTTCTTCTGAGTCTGCATTGAGTTTCAACTGATGAATCAGAATTTTGCATGGAAAGATTTGGGTACAAACACAATAAGAAAATTTAGCAATACTTTTTTTTTTTTTTAACTGTGTTTTTTTTTTCCCCCCATTCTTGCTTTCCCTTGGTAAACAGCAACACTTGCTGGCAAGAATGGGAATAACAGATCAATCTGCTTATTTTCAATTGTCGGATTCCTGTGTGTCAGTCATCTAGCTCTTTTCCAGCTGTTACCCGGTGAGAATTTACCTGGTGAGGGAGAAAGATTTAATGTTTTGGCAAAAGATCTGACTTCTCCCTAGTGACATTAAGCCTATAAGAGAACCTGAAGTCAGTTTCAGATCTTATTTGAATGAAAGCCGACTTCTTGGAGTTTTCCCACCAAAATAAAATGCTCTCCTGAGTTAGGCAAACGGGATTTGGTCACCATTAAGCTCACGAAACTATATTTCAACAAGAAAGGAAGAGTTAATTGAAGGTTGCCTGTTCTTCTTTTGCCAAGCAGCAGGACTTTTGTAGGGTGTGAAACTGTGGTTATTAGCCAGGGTTAATGGGGATTGTCTCATTCATTACCGTGCACTGTTAAGAGTAACTGTTGGTTCCTCTGTTCAAGCAATACCTCTGTTGCCAGTGCTGTCAGGAGATCTGCTTCATTTAAAAAAAAACAAAGACCTGGGTTGGTATGTTAGTAGGCATTGAAGGGGAACATAAAAGAAATACAATAGGAACAACATACTGAAAAGAAACACGGTTTTTAAGGTAGTTGAGTGCTTAATTCTTTTGTAATCAAAGAGAATTCAAGTGCCCACACACAGTAAAAATAGGACTGGGGGAAAGAAAGCATCAAAACTAGCAAAAAAGGCTTTGGGTCTGCTGAAGTAAAGAGGGAAAAATGGGGGAAGTATTAAAACCCCCTAAAATTAATAAACCAAAAGAAACAAGAAAACCCCCAATCAGACAGAAAAGCCACCTTGTTTTGGTGGAGGTTAGGGGACATACCTTGATTTGCCATAATGTACTTTGTGTCCCATCACATCTGACAGGTGGCAGTGGAACATGGAGGTTCAGCTTCAGGTGTGAACACTGCAGAATTACTTGTATTCTGCCTGCTTTGATGTCCAGTAACTCATCAATGGGTATAATTTTAGAGAAACATTGGCATTGAGGTTTTGCATCTCTATTTTTGTGCATGTTTTAAGTTTTGTTGTTAAGATTGCATTGTTTCTTGTATGTGAGACAGCACAGTCCTAAATCTTTGTATGTCTGTGTCCTGTGAACATCACTGCTGTTGGGTTGTTGCTGAGGGATTGGCAGAGTTGGATGTGCTTGGGTTACTCTGAGGCAAGTGAGCATCTGCTAGAGTGAACACAGTTCTGTGCTTTGGGAATATCAGGGGATAAGGTTCCCTAATAACTGGGTTTTGTACTTTCTCTTATTGAACTTGATATAGCTGTTGTGAAGGTTGCTGGGATTGGTGGTGTGGTCTGTAGTGTCAATTCTCATCTTCCTAATTCAGAGTTTAGTTTGTTGGCACCACTAGCTGTGGTAAGTCCAACCTCCCTAGCAATTGTCCCTTCCCCACCCCGGTGGTTTCAATGAGAAATAGATTTTTCAGCAGTTTAAAACTTTTCCTGTAGATGCCATTTCTTTCTGCTCAGCTTTTGAAGGCTTTAACATTTGTGATGCAAAAAAAACCCTGTGCTGGGGTATTTGCAGGATTCCCTAAACAAGGAACTAGTGCTCCAAGTCTGGCTTTAAGTGTTAGTGTCCCTTTCCTTGCATAAAGATCACCTGAGTGGCTGGGTTCTGCTTGGATTCATCTCCTAAAACTAATTTTAGGATCTGCTTTTGGGAGAAGAAAACATGGCTGGGCCAAGGAATCTGGAGCCTGCTGTCATGTACTTCACTTGTCTGCACCTGGGGGCAAAACTGATTCCTGAAGTTGTGTAGGACTTCCCCTTGAAACAGGGAGTAGGAATATGGGGAGGCAAAGGAAAGTTTGGGATTTTCCATATTCTTGTGCTTAATTTAAGGCAGTGATTCAGCCAGCCAAGGGAGACAGTTTATCTGTTCAGCTCTGGTACAGGCGTTGCCTCTTCTTGTGCCAAATACCTTTGAGGATGGGAAGAGACAGCATGGTCCTTCTGGAAACCTGAGAAGAATTTTGGTGGTTAAAAAGAAATAAAATAAACTTGAAGCTGCTGAATTTGTGCTGCCGTTTACACCTAATAGAAGAGATTAGGGATTACAGCAGAGTTAAAGAAAAAAGCCTTGAATCTATGAGTATGTAATTTTAAGGAAGCCTTTTATTTCTCACTGATCTGTGTACCTTGGTATTTTTATGTCTTCTGGGGAAGGCTACTGTGTGTGGTTTGTCCATCCAGCAGCTGTGGTAACCCGTAACCCTAAAGTGCTGTGCTGTAGGTCTGAGATAAGTGTTGAAATCTGCACGTTTATTTCTGAAACACGATACAAATGTAATAACTTCTGGAGATCAGCTATAGATTAGCAAATACTTCGTGAGTCATACCTTCCCCTTGATGCCTTTTTTTTTTTTTTTTTTCTTAAGCATGTCATAAACGTTTAGGAAAGCTCATTCATCCCAGATAGGTGTGAAATCAATCTTTGATGCATAGGGCTGTGACTCAGGGAGTGGAAACAAAAAGGCTACTTGGTGTAATGTCTGCTGCTGTGCTCTTGCCAAATACCTTGAGCAGAGGGGGAAATCTCTCCTGCTCCAGTTTGTTTGGGAGATGCTTTGAAGATTATGGATCTCTTCCATATAGCAGACACCCAATTAACTGTGATTAGGAGCGCTGTAGGTAATAGCTCTGCTATGAGGATGAAGAGAAGATGAGAAAGATGAATAGCACAGGATGTGCAGGTTTTGGCTGGATGTGTGAGGAGAGCTGATGGGGTATTGGGAGTCTTGTTCCACGGGGAACAAGACAGCAGGGGAGTGTGAGGCATTCCGACCTGGAGGGAGCTTTTTCAGGAGGGTTTCTAGGGCAGGCGTCAGCAGCTGGCTGGGAGCTGATGTCAAGGTGAGTTTCTGCTTCATCTCCTCACTCTGGCTTCAGTTCCTCTCTTTGTTGTGTTTGTGCCTTTGGCCCTTCTGATGGAATAAGTGGGACTGCACCCCTACAAGATCCTTAGGTCTTTTAAGCAGCACAAAGAGGAACTCAAAGCCTTTAGAATCTGTCTCTTGCCCATTCTTTCTGGCTTGAAATTAAGTATGTCAGATATATCTTTAGCTGGGAGAACTTTCCTTATCCTTCCATGTCCATCTATTGTCCCCAGGATGCTCCCCATCTCTTCTCATACTTGCTCTTTCAACGTGGAGGTGGTTTTGTCTGTTAGCAAAGGGAACTGGCTGCCATAATTTCCTACAGGTTCTTCACCTTCTCCCTTGCCTTGGAAGTCACTATTGCAGGTTTGTCTTGTGTTACAGCACATCTGCTTCCCCTTCCCCAAGCTTTTGCTGTGCCCAGCAGATCACATTCCATGATTGTTCTTTGTGAGCCGTTTAAAATGATTTTATTAGGGAGCTATGCTGTAAGTTGAGAGATGGCAGAGAGTGGGTGTCATGTTTTTACAGCTCTTGGTGGCACACAGGAGTCTCTGCACTGTTCCCGGTGCTCCATGTACTCGGAGCTTGCTATCTATCCCAGGCACAGATGCTGTCTGAGGCTGATGGAGCAGTTCTCAGGGCTCTCTGGCGTGCTGAGTGTGTTTGAGCAGTGTTGATGTTCCTGTAATTGCACTGGGTGGACAAACAGGCTGCTTATTGCTCCTGTGATTGCCCAGGAAATGTTCTGTCAACTCCACCCTTTTTTTTCCTGATGTGTAGCACATCCCTCTGATCCAGTGTTGAGCTAAGCTGGAGAGGGGAGCAGAACACGGTGAGTCATCTCACAAAGCTTTTGCAGCAGGTGTCTGGCTGAATCTGCTTACCTGCCTTTCTCTCCTCATGGTCTTTTTTTGACCCATCTCTCCCGTTTCTTTGGGTTGTTGTTTAACAAGGTGCTCTTTATTAAGAGAGAGAGACTTATTAGCTTATTTTTTGCCATCTGTCTTCCATTCTTCCTCTCGAGATCTTCAGCTTGCAGTGCAGAGGATAAATTGGCAGGTAAAGATGATCTTGAGATACTTTCTGCTACAACGCTTATGTGGCAACTTCATTCAAAGAAAATGAAGGGGAAGGGTCACAGAGCAGCACTTGGGGAGGAAGGAGAGGGAGACTCTCAGCTACGATGTTGTTTCCAGTAAAACTCTCTGCTGGCCTTGTTGCATCAAAATGAGTTGACTATTTCATATGGAAAAGCTATTTCTCCTTCCTTCAAAGGGAAGAAGAGATCCACAATAGGAAGTGGATTGGGCTTTTTTGTCATTATTAGAAAAGACAAACCCTTTGGCTAGCATCTGTTGTAAGGATTGCTGCTGTCTCCTGGCGCTCTTCTGTCTCCCCTCATGTTTCTTATGTTGTCTGTCTTCTATAATTAAAGTTTTTCAGGACGTGAGTGGTCATGTTTGCTATTTGTGTGGTGCTGTTTGTACAAGATGCAGATTGATGTTGACTGCTCCTATGCTCTGTGGCAGTGCAAACAAATAATTAAGTAGCAGATAGAGATTTGGTGTATGTATGAGTGAATATGCATAACTCCCCTGATATGCTAATATGGAGGGGGAAATACAGAGCTTTAGGTTTTGTGACTTTGATAAACTGTTTTCAGGTAGTGGAACAGTGAGTAAAATACCAATGTGCTCAAGGGAACGTGGCAAAATAGAAGCCTCTGAGTACAGGAAGCTGTCAGGAATTGCAGACACAAGTCATTCAGCAGCTGCTTTGTTTAATGATTTTAAATGTTATTGTAGCTTTTAATGCAGATGGGCAAATCTTTATCCATTTAAACAATTAATTTTGTTCAAATGTCTCTAATAGAGTGTATTAATGCTTTTAGTCCTCAACAGTTTTTTACCACTTGGAAAGAGAAAGCTGTGATAGAGTCTCCAGTAAGTCCATTTTGATATAAGTCTACACTTCAACTCCTCCATCACTGCATAAATGCTGTATGGTTTCTTCTCACGACATAAATATTTAAAGGGAACATAACTTGTCAGTGGAAACCATCTAATTAAAAGTATTAGGAGCTGTGCTTATTTATAACATGCATGAATAATTATTACTCAAAGTCTGGGTATTATTTTCTTGGGAAGTCCCTCATTAGAAACTCTGCATCATCAAGGGTGAACTGCACTGTTACTTAACCAGTTTCGGTTCGCATCTGGGCAGAGGCAAAAGGAACATGCTGTGAATATGAAAGCAAATTTTCCAGCGTCCCAGCATTTTTTGTAATTATTTTTATATATGTGTCTGGGGCTTAAACACGTTCAGAGCTGAGCTGCTTGAGCAGTGCGGTGTTGTGTGAGTGGAGTGTTGTTGTGGGTGGTGCAGGGAGGAAGGGGGAGAGCAGTCAGGGAGGGAGGGGGTGTTTCCTCCCCTTAATGCCAGTGCTGCTGAGCATCTCTGGGCTGCCATGGACCTTCTGCCAGACTGCACTCCCTTGGTGCAGCTCTGCTTGGATTATACATCCAAGCATTTGGCCCCTCTCCATTTCCTGTAGAACAGGGACCATTGTTTGCGCTTGGACAACAGTGGCTGTGTTTTCTAATTCAAAAAATGCCTTATAGAAGAGGCCTTTATCATCATTCCTGCTCTGCAAATGGGGAAATAGAAGGAGAGAAGGGGAGCAACGTACCCTCAGGTGATGGAGATGAGCAGCAGTGAGGAGCAGGATCCTTGTCCTCTCCAAATCCTCTAGTTATTTCATCTGATGTTAGTGCCATCAAGTAAAACTCTCCTGTGAGCTTGTAAAGAAAAGAGTTTATTGCAGAATATTTCAGAACATGAACAACCTTTCCCTCCATGCAGCCAGAGCTGGATTAGTTGCAATTACTGGTAATCATGGCCTTGAGCTACTGGCAGTGATATTCTTTGACAGGTAGGGATAGCTCAATAGTCATTGCTGGAGCTTTGAGCTGGAGACAGTAACAGCAATAGCAGACTGCTGCTCATCCTTCAGGTTCTTGGGAAGGGAAGTTTCTGTACTGTCATGGCTGGGACTGGGAAGTGCTCTTCTCATGGTCCCACGCATGGAGAGTGAACTCTGACTAGCTCACTTGGTGAAGCTGCTCTTTTAGATTTTGTTGCACAACACTTGTCCTTTCCTTAAACAGAACAAAACCAAAAGCCTTTGGGGTTTCTCATCCTTATTTTCTCAATTCTTCAATGTTTTGTTTATTCTATGTTACTTCCCTATTTTTAAGATCTGATGGTTAAGTTCTTCCTAGGCCCATAAATACTCATCTCCTGTCCCATCTGTCTATCTCTGCATACACCTTGACAAGTATTCTTCCATCTTTACTGCAGTGATACTCAGTTGTGCTCTCCACACTTTCCTGGCCCTGTCTTTTTTTGCATCTTACCTCACCTGCCCTATCTCCTACCTTTCTCATGCTGCTGATGCTTCATACTCCACCCGTGCCACATCCCTTGGGATTGTTCCTCACACACTGACTCTGTCCTGACAGCTTCTTCTCTGCATCACTTTTTTCTTGCATTTTCCTGTGCCCTTTCCTCCTGAAGGAGAAGGCCTCTTGGGCTACATTCTTTCTTTTGTATTATATTTTTTTTTCTTGTCACTTTATTCTCTGCCCTCTCCTTGTACTGTTGAAGAAATGGAATTTCTGTAGCTTTGTGCCTAAATAGCCAGATCTTGGTTCTTTGTGTTTTCACAGTATAAAGGAATCCCAACTATACCTCTCTACTGTATATGTAGAAAAGCACAACACAAATCCAAGGGTGATTGATCCCCACAACTCTTGTTTTGTGAACTTACTTAACTTGGGATGCAAATGATAGGGAAATAATATAGAAACAAATAATGGTAATAGTAGTAGTTACAAATTCAGCTTGCAGGACAAAGGGAGGCTGCTCTCTGTATTGAGAACTTTTTGTTAAGAAGTGGAAATTGTAAGGCTTTTGCTAACTGTCCACTTTTGAGACCAGGCTAGGATGGAGAGCAAGCACTTGTGGCAGGACATGAGTTGGTTTTGTGTTCAGGATAGGGTGACAAGTGATTCTGACCTCTCTGTCACTTTTTTTTCTTTTATCCTCTGTTTGCTATCCATTAATCTTTATGTCCATGACCCAAACTAACCATAATGTGTGCTTTGTAGCTGTCATCCCACTGTGATTTATTTTTTGCCTGTTTGCTCAGAACTGTTTGCTTGGGTGGCTAGAAGTGGGATAACCAGGATTTAGCATGAGGGCTGTACTGCATGATGCCAGTGATGTTAAAGCCTTGCTGTGCTTCTGTCATGGAAGAGGTGAAATTCAGCCTTGGATTTGCATGTTCCCATCATACAGCAAAGGAAAACTGAATTGGAAGCTGAGGGTTTGATTGCATTTTTCTATTCTGTTCATAAACTATTATTTCCTGTCCACCCACCCCCTCCCTTCCCAAGACTAATTGAATTTAAGAAGAGTCAGCTTTGCATCTAAGAACTGGGCTCCTGAAAAATGCAGTGGAAATGAATCAATTAATGCCTTAAGAACTTTACCATAGAAACATCCCAGTTCTTCCACAATAGCAGCATTTTTCTTGGTTTATGCAACCAGTAGCATGTGAAAAAACTCTGTTGCTAAAGATGATCCATATGTTGAGATGCTATTGGAACAGCAGTGTGCTTTATGGTGTTTTAGATTTGGTCAGCCATCAAGCAGAGTGTTTTGTGATAGTTTGGTAGTTTTCCTTAATCATGTGACATTGTAGATGCTGAAACTGAAATACAACCATGCAGAGCTCACAGGAGAGAAGTGACTTTGTCCAGTGCCCTGCTTCTGTCTTGTGTAAGAAATACCAAAAAGGTGTATTCTGGAGCCTGATGGTGGTGTGAGTGCTGTGAGCACCAGGAAGCCTAATGAAGAGTTTGTCTGCTAAAAGCTTGTTTTCCCCTCCTAGTGTTGCTGTTGATCTAAAGAAGCAGTCTCTTTGCAGCCTCTGAAGTTGCTCATGCCCTGTGTTCGTCACGGCTGCGAGCACATCACTTTTTGTTATTATAAGAATATAACTTCTGATATCTCAGCTGAACGTGTTTGTTCATCAGCTGCTCTTAACAAGTGCTTTGTGGATGCATCCTGCAGTCATCTGCCCTGCTTTTCTTTATATTTAGGCAAGGCAAAGGAGCTGTACTGAATACTGTCCAGATTGACCAAGGGTGGTCTAGGCTGTCTCCTTTGAGTCTTGGAGTTCTGGCCCAGGATCTTTAAACAATGGCTTCTGTGTGGGTGCCTGAGCCCAGCTCATGGTATCTGCAGCCTGTCATCCTTAGTGTGGGGTGAGAAAGACCAAGCTGGAAGGAGGAAAAGAGTAAAGAGACAGGCAGGCAACTTTCTGTCTTGAAGCTCAAAGCCTGACTTAGGGAGGTGATGTGAGAAGTGGGGGCTTCTGTAGGATTTGCTGGCTTGTCTGTGTTCTACAAAGAAATGAATACTTGTGCTCTAGTCAGTGGCAATGCAGCTGAAATCAGAGGCCAGTGGTGGGGCACTGGAGTC